CACACACACACACACACACACACACACACACACACACACACACACACGCCACGGGATGAAACGTTTCTGCTAGGTTCTCTGTAAAGTTCAGACTGACCTCTATTAGCCCTAACCTTTTGCGTTTAGCCCTGCTGAGTGTTGTTCTTACTGGGATAAGTACTACTTCCTAAATCTTCCCCACTAAGAATTCACATTTTAAAGTTATTTTTAAATGATATTGTCAATGTTCTTCAACACAGAAACATGGGAGTCTGCTAAATTAAAAATATTATAGATTTTCTATTACTGCAACTGATCAGTTTTCATAATTTCAACTTCCTTTCACATGAGTGGGCAGATCTTGATACTACGATAACCATGAGCCTCAGTTGCCTTTGCTACGGACAAGAAGCTAGCTAGAAGTGGGATTCAAATTCTAACAAATCAAAAACATATTGGTCTTGCATTTGGGGATAAAAATACGGCGCCATAGTTGCAGAATTCATCCAAACTTGGCCCAGATACTGAAAATGAACCAATTAAAACAACTGTATGTATCAGAAAATCACTGCAGAGTATAATACTTACCCTTCATCCTTTCTTTATCGTCACTGCCTGTCTCTGTCATTTACTCACACATGCCACACTTCCTGTTCTCATTTGCATACCTTCATCCAGAGCATCTGTGGCCTCCGCTTCCCTCCTCCTCCTCACGGCTCTTTGTTTCTCCTCTAGCCTCTGCTTTTCTGAGTTTGCCTCATCCCATCTCCCTTCCTCCATCAGCTTCTGGTCTGGTCTCAGACGGCTGTCGGTCACTCCCACTCCGTCCTCCTGCTCGTTTAGGGTCAGTGCCAGCGCTGAGAAGTAGTACATGTTCTCAGCGTTCTCCCTGAGAGAGCGAGAGGAAATTGACAGAAGTTACGCTGCGTCACGATCAATGATATTGATTGAACATCGCAGCAGTTATGCAACTACTCATACATTGCAATGCTCTGCCTAAACTTACGGGAGAGGGTATTTCTTCCACAGCGGCTTGGGAGACAACGTCTGATAGACCGTCTTCTGCTTGCCCTCTGATCCGCTGCCCCCTCGGCTGCTCTGAATGATCTTGGCACTCTCAATTTTATCATCCCACGTACCAGAGAGGACGTAGTGAGCCTGACCCCCACTGTCTGCCACCACACCTGTCACCTGGAAAGAGCAAAAGGAAATAAGAAAACTGAAACTAAAGCAAGCTTTCTTTCTGAGAGTCCAGATGTATCACCATCTCCTTTCCTCCAAATGTTAAACACTTAAATACACAAACACCTAGGTAGGACACCAGTAAACCTCCATTAGCTTATCCGACATCAGTCACTACCAAGGAGGGCAGCATTGTGCCCCATTTTTAGATAATTAGTACACCTATGGTTACCTCACTGCAATGTGCGCTCTTACCGAGAGCTTTTTCACTTTTACACGATATATTTGTTGGTAGTCTCCAGCAGGAGGCAGTATCGGACAAAATGAACCCTGCAATGTATGACGTTGTGCCAAGGTCGTGTACATAAGCGTGGAAAGGAAGCATTTACCTTCCGTGGAACGTCCCTGGAAAAATAACTGTAGGGAGAAAACTTGAGTTGACAGGTCTCCTTGGTCCTGTGATTCACAATCTCAATGTCCCCCGACTGCACAAATACAGACACAGAGTGAGAGAGACAAACACACAGAGAGAATGATAGCATATCAACACTATTAACAGTTTTTAGAGCAGAGAAAGAAAAGCACCCTGACTGATCCTAACCCTATTTATTGTTATAGTAAGTATTCAGGTTCCTCAAAGGTACCACATGGAGTTTTTGACAACTCGTGGTGTTGTAGGGCCAGTTTATTTATAAAGCACATTTCAGCAACAAGGTTATTTGAAGTGCTTTACATAAAACACCACAAGCCAAAAGTGCATTTCATTACATTTCTGTCGACTGCTGAGGGCCACACCTTTCAAGCTTCATACCTAACCTGTAACACGCATTCTTATCTTTTGCTGCATCGAACAGCCATCAAAGTAAAATCTCATGGATTGTTGTCACACTGTAAGCTTAGTACAGTGATGATATGCTGATCAGTACAGATCACTCATTCTCTGGCTTCACTTGCTGTGCTCCTGACAGCACTGTCTTCTGTTGCACTGTCTGGCAGCAGAGGAGGCAGTAGCAGCATAGTTTCCATAGTTTGACACGGAGTTGTTAGGCTGACCCCGTTCTGCACCAGAGGGCAGCAGAGCGATGCATGGAGGCGGTGAAAGACGGCAAAAGTATTGAATGCAGAAGGCAAAACAATACAAAGTAAAAATGTGTAATAATCGATGAGGCTTTTTCTTTGCGGATAAGCTGAAGTTGGAGAGAATCTATCAACACAGTGGTGTTGTTTTACCTCGACTAGTAACTCAAACTTACATGCCAAGAGCCAAGATAACCATAACAGCTGTCTGGGAAAAATGTTTTTTGCGTATATTGTCTCTAGTAAGTTATAATGTACCAGCTGAACATACACAAAACTCCACAGGGTACCTTTGATTACATCAGCATGAACACTGCTGCTGATTTTCATAGTCTCTAGCCAATATATCTCCTCATTGCACACACCAAAGTAATAAATCGGAGATGGTGAATTGCCATATTGTTCTTCAGGTGTTCTTCCAGGGTTACGCACAAAAACAAGCGCAAACACACACACACACACACACACACACATACAGACAAATTGATACGACACACAGACTGAGTGGAAACAGGAAAAAACAAGAATTATACTTTTAAACAAGGAGACACAACTGAGAGACATGCAGCTGTGAAGCCTGCCCCTCCCCCTATATAACTGGGCCATCTCACAGAAAGAAGAGGCTGTTATTCTAGGGTGTTATTGGAGATCAAAGCTGTAATAACAAAAGAAACTGAAGAGCAATCCCTAGAGAATGGGAAGCTTCTTATTCGTGTGCTTCTTCACAGCACTTCTCTGCTGGCTTGTATAATATCTATAGGCTGCTCTGGGGTGTCAGAGACAATAAAGCAGGGTTGTAGTTTGGAGCTGTGGATGAATGGTTACCAATAGGAGAAACAGACCTGGTCAATCCACAGCTTGCCCACAATGATGTTGTGCACTGTGGAGGTGACCTTTCTCCACACGTATTGGTTCCCACTGGAGTGGAACTGCAAGTGAATGGCACCTGGGGAGGGACAGGGACAAAATGCTGTTAGAGAAAAGAAATATCACAGCTGCTTTGTTACCAATCTGCAATCAGCTTTTGGGATTCTAAATCTGTTGGTGAACATGGTAAATTCTACCTGCAGCAGCTGAAAAACACGTCATCTGACAAAGTTATTCCCAAAGACTTGGTCCGGTCCCACAGGTGGGTCCCAGGAGATTTCGTTAGGGCCACGCAATTAATTTGCATAATTTCTTCCATAGTCTTTTATTTAACATTTAAATCTGCAGTTCACCTTTGAGCCACAAGACAGAGCCTGAGTGTTTGTAATGATGTGGTTATGTGGTACCTCCTTATATAGATAAGGCCTATTATGAATTGGGTTGCGATGGTTTGCCATTTTTAAACAGTGGGTCCCCAGAAAAAAAAGTTTGGGAAACATTGATCCAACACATTTATGCCCCTGTGCACAGGCATTCAATTTCAACATCTAGTTCCAGTGTGACCTAACCCTGGAAGATTAACAATATCAATTTGACGATAAACGCTTTCCACTTTAGATCTTTTTTCTGTTACATGGAACTTTACAGCAGGCATATAACAGGAAAGGAGAAAAGTCAGATAAATCCCACCGCATCCCTTGGCTCCCTTTATATCCATTTTTTATGTATGTGTCAAAACGGTCATAAAACCCTCTTGATTCATTCTCACAGGCTTTTCCTCTACATTGTGTGGGAGGCAGCACAGTCATGTACTGCTCTCAAGTGGGAGTCCTTCTTAAGTAAACTCTGTCTGGTGTGGCTGGTACATTTGCATGATGGAACACAGTTTGTTTGCTTCCCCGCTGAATATGAAATGTCTTACCCAGAGGCATTATGGAGAGGTATTTGCCACGGAACTTGCTGGCGATGGTGATTTCCTGCCACAGGGTCCAGCCTCGTTGGGAAATCACATGATGTGCAGCTGCAGGGGGGTGATGGCTCACCTTAGAAGAAATAGAAACATAAAGGTAAAGCACATAAGCAGACTTGCTTGGAGAACACAGGCATGCACTGCGTACTCGCACTGTGTGCACGCACGTCAGTGTGTGTGTGTGTGTGTGTGTAAGCAAAAACTCCCTGTGGCCATGCTGTTACCTGCTCACACAGCGAGCGGTAGCCGAACTCCTCCCTTCGATCGAGCTCGTAGGTCTCACCCAGGAGGGGGTTGAAGGGCTTAGCTGTCCGGTGGACCGTGGTGGAGTAGGACGAGACGGAGAAGGCGGCGACCAGGCACATCTGCTCCATGGAGGAGTCGCAGCGCGCCGCCTTGTCCAGAAGCTCATGATACTCCAGGTCCTCGGTGAGACGCTGCAGCATCGACAAAGGCTCGTTGAAGTTCACCTGAATGGCCGGATGAAGAAGACGTGAGACACACAGCTTTGTGTTAACCAGCCAGCGAGAAGGAGGGCCATGCCTAATACACTTACAGGCATGGGGATTTTGGAGAGCTCCTTGCCGATGCAGTTCTTCATGATGCTCCACAAATTGAGGGAGTAGTTGGGCTTGTCTGGGACATGTGTGCGCCTCTGTCTGCGAGGCTGCAGCTCCTTCCCCGACACATCGTTACAGCTTGGAGACATCTGGTATTAGGTGGAAGGGAAGGGGTGGAGGATGAGATGGTGGTCTTTTAACTTTGTGTGAAAAGCATATTCGGCATATACAAGTTTGAGGAATACTTTCAGCTTCATGCTCAACTTGGCAGCACATTACCAAACGGAGGAGACCGAATGACAGAGCGAGTGAGAGACAGGACGAGAGGGAACAGAGGACGCAGATGTGTGTTAGAGAGAGGAAGAAGCAATGAGAGTGTAGGGGAAAGAAGTGCAGATGTTTGACTGGTAACTAACATTTAGTGGAATGAAGCAGCTGTGTATCTTTGGCACCACAGGGGTGACGATGACACCGCAGGACACACGGATAAAGGCTGTGTGTGATTGTGTGTGTGTGTGAGCATTGGGATGACCGTAGGATAGGAAATGGGGACTGTGAGAACGACAAGTGAAGACAGTTATATAAATAAATCAATGAGCTGTGAGCTTTCCAGCAGCACAAATTAATCTATTTTAAGATTACAAGTCAGCAGTGTCCACAAATGTCAGTCCTATTCATCAGACTAGTTAGGAGGACAGACACTTACATGGTCGTCCTGGTTACAGTCATTGGGTTGACCTCCGCTTGCTCCACTCAAATTACTCTGAGAACACCTGGAAGAGAAGAAAAATATTTTCTACAATTCTCTCAATGTCCCTCTCTCTCTCCATTTTCCACACACGCGCACACACACACACACACACACACACACACACACACACACACACACACACACACACACACACACACACACGAGGAGCAAACGGATTGCTGGGTATTACATTGCTGAGTAACTGTTTCCATCACTCTTAATGGTGCTACTGGAGTCGATTGCCATACTGGAGTATGTTGCAAGAGATGAGCCATAACAATGATGAGGAGAAGAACACTTAATTTACTTGAGATGTTTTAAAAAAGTAAAAATAGAAAGTGCAAGCTCTGCAAAGACAGGTGGAGTTGCCAGCAAGAGACTAACTCCAGCGCAGCAAACAAATATACCATAAATTCATTCTGAGAGAGCAACAACAAAAGCAGTTTTATTTTGCTACAGGAAAGCAGACAGAAGTGCGTCTTTGGTGATTTGTTTCTGTATTACTCAGAGTGAACACATCTAACAAAAGAGTGAATGGCACACCACTCTGTAATTTGTGTGTGTGTGTAGGTTAAGTTTTCACACCGTGAACCATCATCAGACATTTTTTCAGCTGTCAGCCTGAGTCAAATTCATCCTCAGAATTCTTTATGACAGTAAATGTTAATACTCAACTAAACCTCCATCCCCGTATCTGTCTTTCAGTTGACCTGCTGTTTGGCTAAATCAAAAAGCATGGATCCCTGTGAGTGACTGACCTGTGCTGTGTGTTCTCAGTGGCAGTCACTGTGATAAATGCAGGGGAATCCTCCATGGCATCAAAGTACTCAGTATCCTCATCTTCATCACTCGCCTCTTCTTTGCGCAGCCTCCCACTCCCCCCTGTCAGGACAGATACATTTGTGAGTAAATGCTAACAGCCTCCAACACTAGCAGAGCCATCACATGGTGGTGAGTTTGTATTCTACAGAGTTCAGGAGAGAGCAGCGTATAATCACATACCCATGGCGATTGATCAAGGAATAATTAGCTTAGTAAAATTGGCAATGTTCCTGCTGCTTAACTAGCCTGAAATGCAAGCTCCTCAGGGTTAGCTTCTAATATTCAGTATCCGACAGTCAATTCAGTACTTTCTAAAAGTAATTCTATGAAAAAAATGAGTAAACTATGACTTTCAGTCATTGAACAACCACCAATATGAACTAAATGTACTGCATTATTAGAAAAGAGTTGTTTTTCATCATATGCATATGCTTTCAAAACCAGCTTCTGTTTAATACTACTTAGTAAGATGCATACGATCAATTTATTCAATAAAGATTTAACCACATCCTTGTCAGAAACACAGAAAACAGATATGCAATGTTCTTTTACCACTCCAACCTTTTAAAAGAGAGATGACTCATGTCTCTGGTAAGCCAACATTATACTGTCTAAATGGCAGAATACTTAAGTGTAGCAATGGTTTTACGTGAAAGCAGCTAAACACCAAAGTCAACGCACTTAAAACAACAACAAAGGTTGTTTTTCAAACCAAATGACCAACATGAGCCCCTTCTGATGTTCTACCTACGTGGTTGAGGTATAATCAAGTTAAGGCAACTTAAACAACTTGTTTACCATTTTGAAAAGATTGCCTTCATGGTTAAAGAAACCCA